TGCCAACCCAGTCCCACTTGGACTAAAACCATTTTCAGCAGGTAGAACTTCCAAATAGAGCCAATCAACAACCACCTAATCTCTACCGGTAATCACAATTGTCCCGGTGATATACTATACGAGATTCGACGCAAGCAGAACCAAGACAAGTAGGATGATAATAGCCGGTAACATTTGGTGTGATGAGCATATTAATGCGGGACAGGGCAGCCTATCACGAATCTCGGCCGTATAGTCATGAGAACACAGAGGAAGGTGTCGTAGAGGTCTCGAGATACTTGGGGTGCCGGGGCCGTGACCACGATACGCCCTTACCGACTTTCGAGGCTGCCATCAACGGGACGAAAACAGGAGAAGCCGCCACGACCGCAACTTTCCGTTGGTGGTCGACATGATTGAGCTGCATGCATATGGGATGAATTTGATGCAGATAATAATTTCATAAATAAATGTTACTCAAACGAAGCAAGTGATATTATAAGAATACAATATTTCTTTTCCCTGTAGTAAGACTACAGGGGTCAGCTGGTTTTAGAGTGAGCACTGCTACAGCAATCTAGCGCCCTCTTAAAGACTTCAACGGAAGCGGACATAGCAACATCTAGAGGCAGAGCATTCCAAGCTTCGACCATTCTACTACAAAAGAAGAACTTTCCTGCGTCTAGTCTGGCCCCGTTACACGAAGATTGAATGGATGACCTCTTAAGTTCGTAGTTGATGCTAACTCGAAAAAATCCCCTGGTAGAAGCTAGCGGTCTTGACCGCACATCATATGAAATGGTCACAAGTTTTTTTTATCAGTGATTACGAAGTAGCATTATCCGCATACAAATTAGCTAGAAGAGACCGCACGGAACGCCAGGATGGAAGAGTTTCTATCCATATAAAGAGCAGCTTGACTATGTGTGAGAAGACAGAAAATATAACCGATGGTATTGAGCCTATTTGGCTGACAATTAAGGCACCGGGATTGCAGCACCTGGAAGCCATGACCGTCTACCGACCACCGAGGACAGACACTAATGCAGGTGTGTGTTAACTGGAACGTATAAAGGATGTCGACGGTCGATCTGATATGGTTCCGATGGGTGGCGTAAATGCGCCCAGCGATGCATCGTGCAACAGAGTAGCGTCGCGAACGATGCCTTGAGGAACACCACTCTCAACTGAAACCTGCGGCAGCTTCTCAACATTGACATTGACAAATTGAGAGCGGCGGATTAGGAAGTTTTGTATCCACATCAGAAGCCTACTTCTCATTCTTATACGGCTGAGTTTATAAAAGAGACAACGGAGAGGCACACTATCAAATGACTTTTGGAAGTTGATATAGACTGTATGCACCGTATTCCCTATACATATATTTCCCTAGTCCACCGTTCTAAAAAGTAAAGCTAGTTTTCACCCAGGATTTATCTCTACGTCAACTATGCTGGAAATCGGAAAGAATGTGATTTCTTTCCGGGAACTGCATTAGTTGTTGTTTCATTACTTTTTTCTATAATTTGCAGCAAATCGAAGTGAAGCTGACCGGCCGATTTTTTGCGGAGACCCAGCATCCACCGTTATAAAACGGTGAAATTCATGCCGATTTCCAATCGGCTTGTAGATATGCAGTCCTGGAGGATGCTTTGAAAAGCGTACAGAGTAATTTTGCCAAAACACTAACGAATTCCTTCAACATCCTCGCTAATGACTCTTCGGAACCCGCTGATTTGGATTCTTTCAGCCCTAGCGATACTTTCAGATCAACAGTCTCAGTGAATTGGACAGTCTCAACTATTGCAACGTCTCCGGAGTCTCCCCGCGGTAGTCGTATCCCGTTTCCTCAGTGCAAACCGATCTTCAAAATTCTGAAATATGTTTTATGGAAAACATGCACGACAAAATTATCTCTTGTACTCGTTTGGGAGCAAATTACACCTTCTTTAATATTTATACTTAAAGAAAGGGTATTCTTCGGTTTTAGGAAAATTTCTAATTGCCAATATAAGCGAATATGCGTGTCCCAGGAAGTAATTGAGAAGAAGAAGACACGATCACTGGGAAAATATGTTTATTCGCCTGACGTTTTGACATCCGTCGCGGATTCATCATCAGAGACATGAACAGTAGC